CTGCAGCACCCTGCCTGGCTCGCCCGGCTGCCGCTGTGGCGCTTCCCCAGCTGGGCCATGGCGAGCGGGCTGCGCCCCGGAGGGTGCGACGAAGACTGTCTTGTGCCCAGCCCCAGCCCCCCCCGGAAAATTGGAAAGTCTACGCCCCTGATAGCAACTAGATTCACAGAAGCTGGACACATATTAGAGTGCCATCAACTGAGGTATAATAACTCCACTTTCTGCAGCAAACTCTTCTTTCCTTATAAATGTCATTATCTTCCTGGCAGATCCGGAGGAAATAAATCTCGGAAATCTCACCATGTAATGTTACTACAATTTGACTTCTGTAGACTAGGGCTGCCAACCAAGACCAGTTCCCCTGAAGAAAATGGCTGCTTTGGAGGGTGGACTCTTTGGCAATATACCCTACTGAGGTCCCTCCCCTCCCTAAACTCTACCTTCTCCAGGCTCCACCCCCTAAATCTCCAGGTATTTCCCAACTCAGAGCTGGCAATCCCAGCTGTAGACTCTTTATTTGTCACACCAGCTCCCCTTCATTCTCAACCTTTTAAGAATCTGTGCATTCCGTTGGGCATCTGAGACAAATTTGATCAACTAGTGGTTGTCATATTCTCAACTGGATGGCTCCCACATTTTATTATTCTTCCCAGAATGCAAAGATATAATGTAGTGACAGCTAGCCACACCCCGTGCCTTTTGAAGTCATCTTAGCATTCAATACATGGTGCAGACAAAGGGGGCTTCTAACACCATGGCCTGAAATACATGTTTTTAATTCTCCACACCCTCCCTTTTTTGTTTTTTACACTAAGCCTGATGAAGAGTTCTGGAGAATCTGGAAGCTTGCACAATGTGTCGTGTTGTTTGGGTTTTCCTTACTGAACTGGTTTTGCTTTTGGGTTTTATCTCCCAGTGATCCTACTTCTACGATGATATCACAGTCCAACTTCTACAGTCTTTGCCTGAAAAATCATTTGCTCATTGGGGCATGATTAATTTTTTTCTTTATTACTTGGCTTGCATGCAAACTAATAAAATTATTCATAAAGTGATTCACATATGCCAGGGCTGTTACGCATAAAGAAGATTCAAAATGAATGTATCCATTAATATACTGGGATGTGATCAAACAACTCCTTTTTAGGTTTCATTTACTATTAAAAGAATGGAAAGGATTCCTGTCATAAACACTGCACAACAATGCTACAAGCTGAATCCATTTAACTCAGAGGGAAATGCCTTTAATAGGCAGACAGAAAGGTTTTTCCACATGGGGTAGACTTGTGTTGTTTCCTTGTTGCTCCAGCAGCGGCCGATGAAGCACAGTAGCCATGGGGCTTTTACTTGGCAGGTTTTCTTGCAGCTTCCCTGCCTCAGTCCCCCCCCCCCCGAGCAACAGCTGTTCTCACCTCACCAGGGCTTTTCCAAGGTTTTTTTAAAAAAAAAATCTGCAGTCTTATTATAACAAACTACCAATCAGGTTCTCTGACTATTCAGCTTTCTTCAAGAAACAGATCAAGTCTCTTCCTTTCTTTGCATATATATGTCTCCTTTCCTAGAGCCATGGCAACAATCCAGTCCAAAATGGACACCCTTCCCTCACCTATGGCAGTTTTTTAGACTGAACACCATATCAATTGAACCAGTCCCCAAGGGAAGAAATAGCTTGACCTGAGACTGGGAGAGAAAGACCTGTGTGAAATATGAACCCAAAATCTTGATAACCTATTCATTTCTATAACTTTCCATTATTTTAAATGCATCAACTACACTTTCAGAACCCTACTGCTCAAGGAAGTGGCACCTCTATTTTCCTCTTTCATGAAGAAGAATGTAGGGTACCTTTTAAAAAATACAAATAACTATAAGGCCTGAAAAGCTCAGCATTCTCCATTTATATTTCCTCCTGGAGTAAAGATTCCTCATCAGACTGAGGCTGTTGTGATGTCTGCCGGAGCCCCAGTTTCTCTTCCAGCTGGAAAGACATCAGATCTTTCCTGGTAATTATTCCAACAACCTGGTTCTGCAAATCAACAACTGTCAGGTGGCGAAGGCCCAGGGACCGAAAGATGATATATGTTCGCTGCAATGAGAAATGAGCTTGGACTGACACTGCTGATTTGTTTATATATGGTTCCTGCAAAATAAAGACAAGACACGTTGGGGTGGGGGGATCATAATGCTACCACATCTGGATTCTCATATGAAATCTAGGGCGGCACGGCACTATATTTGTTAAATCTCAGTTGTACTTTTAAATGATGAAAATATCTAATGATGGCTTTCATTTTATACTAGTCAATCGGGTTATATTTACTAGAAAACACCCAGATCACACATGGTAAAACAGTTGAGGCTAGATTTAAAAATTATTTTTGCAACAATAAATGACTGTATATTTACTAAGATGTGTTTTATAGCCATGCTTTTGTTACAAAGTCATTTATGACACCCTGCAACATTCTGCAATGAAAGTTTGCAAAAAAAAGAGAAAGGTACTTCTAAGCTGGGGGGTGGGGGGGACACACCATAGTGCCTGAAATATGAACATCTCAGCACTCAGGATTTCTAGAGTACACAAAGCAAGACCTACTTCACACATGTTTTTCATACATGAAAATATTTGCATGTAGTCAAAAATGCAAATAATAGAGATTATCCCTGTACAAGAAAAACTACATACAATATCACTTACAAAAGTACAGCATATATTTATTTTGATATGAGTACACTAGTAAGAAAGCTAATGTGCATAGTGTTTAATGCCTCAAGTCAAGAAGTATACTGTGCTTTGTAACAATCTTTCACACTTTTAGAGTGCTAACCCTAGACTCTTACAATGTACTCTTGATGAGATTGTCCTTTGCTGCTGTTCCTTTGGTTGAGGTGGTGGAAATCATATTAGCTCGCCCCCCCACACCCTACCCACCGGTCCTATTTATCTACTCTACTCACTATACGAGGTATAGATATTTTTATGTATCGACTGGTAGGAATTTGGCCACTTGCTAACAGCTATTGAGCACACATACAAGGGGAAAAAACTCTGAAAGCACTTTAACTGTGTTGTCGCCATCTTGTGACTTTGTACAGAACTGAATTTTAACTTTATAGTATTATGTTTTAATATTTTAAACGATATATTATATGTTGTGAGCTGCCCTGAGCCTGTTTGCAGGATAGGGCAGGATATAAATAAAATAAAAAATATTGCAGCTGCCCGGTACAACACATTTGACTGTTCCACTGAAAGTATATTAAAAAGGTAAAGGTTCCCTTGCTTGAAGGCCAGTCGAATCCGACTCTAGGGTTGCGGTGCTCATCTCCGTTTCAAAGCCGAAGAGCCAGCGCTGTCCGAAGACGTTTCCGTGGTCATGTGGCCGGCATGACTAAACACCAAGCCGCACGGAACGCTGTTACCTTCCCACCGAAGTGGTACCTATTTATCTACTTGCAATTTCTTGCTTTCGAACTGCTAGGTTGGCAGGAGCTGGAACTAGAGATGGGAGCTCACTCCATCATGCGGCACCTGGGTCTCGAACTGCTGAACTACTGACCTTCCACAGCCTGCAGTTCAGCGTCTTAACCACTTGAGCCACCGCAGCTCCTGAAAGTATATTTCAGTCCTGTTAAATTATTTGCATTGGTTTCTGATGGTTTTCTTAGCACAAATCAAGGTGCCATTTTGCACAATAACGCACCCTTAACCATTTGGCTTCAGTGCATCCAACAACCTGCCTCTCTCCTACATTACATAATTAGCTCCAAGACTGACCATCTGTGTGCCATGTTGACAGCTAATGCTTGCTGAGACAGACATAAGGTAACTTTTAGCTAGTGTTAAATCAAATGTTTTAATTCATGGACAAAACAGTGTCAGTCACTGGTGTATATTATTGTAATCACATATAATTGAGCTACATTTGGCTTTTATTGTTTCATGTGACAGTTAAAATTCAATGTGAAAAACTGTCAAGGAAAACAGGCACAGGAAGTGTGTGTTTGTTGTGTTGTGCAAGGTATGGAACCAGAGGGAAAAAATCAAGAGCATTGCTATACATTATGTCTTAGGAGCCAAATAATGACTTTTAAATGTTCTGTTCCATTAACATTGCATCCTTTTGCCAATCTGGAACATGTTTTCATTGCAAGTCCTCTTGAAATGGTTGCCTTTGTTGTATTTTCTTTTTGGCTCATTGTATCAACATCTGTTATGTTTATACAATATGAATTAAAACTCAGGAATGCTGTTTGTACTCGGCTACTTTCGTAGCGTCCCGGGATTGGCAGTGTTTATGTAAATCAGTGTAGCTGACACAGCCGTCATAAACAGAAGAGAAAATATAACAAACACATTGTTCATGGAGGAAATGTTTGCTTTCAGAATTGGCTTCACTCTTACCAGATTGATGACGAGTTGCTGATACTGAGGGTCTGTACTGTAGCGATCCAACAACATGGTCATCCACTGCTGATCATGCAATTTTTCAACTCTGATCTGGAGTAGACAATATTACAGATCACTGTTATTTTGGGGTCACTTGTGAGGAACGCCAATTGAGAGTCAAGGCAAGTATAATGATTTTGCTGGATTTCTCAACAATGTTCAGTATCATTATACCCTCCTGGGACCATTTTGTAGTGGTTCTGGTCCTTGAAGTGTAGATCCCAGCAACTGCTTTTGAGAGACTATTATTTCTTTCCATGAGACTCCATATGGAGTTTCGAAAGGTACCATTTTTTCTCCCATGCTTTTTAACATCTACATGAACCTGGTGGTAGCACATGATGATATAAGGTGTTGTCAGTATGCTTATGACACCCAGCTCTATTTCTCCTTTTCATATGGACTAGATGAGACAGTTGGGGCCCTGAAGAGCTGTCTGAAGATAATAGTGGATTGGATGAGGTTGAATAAATGGGTACTCAGATCAGAGAATACATATGATGATGATTGGGGGTGGCACCAATAGATTTTAGGATGGGATTGCACACATTTTCCATAAAGATTCAGATTCATAGCTTTGGGATTCTAATGGATCTGGCATTGCTGCTGGTACCTTAGATGATTTTTGCCAACTTAAGCTGTTTCCCCAACAATACATGCTGCAGGGCCCATTTTTGTGAGCATGTGTGCCCCCTCCAAATACAGTGGGTTGGATGCAACTAGCTTTCCTACTCAACCTTGATCAATTATTCTCATTGTGACAGCCCCCATCACATATACTTTTATCCATGTGGGTCCTATGCTACCAAGGGTAGCCTTTTTGGTGAACAAAGGAGACCTTTCTTCCACTTTTCACCAGTGGAAAAGCTGTCTGGATCCAACCCAGTCTGTTCTCTACTGTTTAGTTCAAAAATCAGTAATGTGATTTCTAGATCAAAAAGGGCTATCCACTCCCCCCCAAATGAACTTGAAGAAATAAAAGATACATTTTTACCTTCTGGTAGGGAAGAATAATTGAAGAAGAATGGGAATCTTCCATTGCCTCTGTTTCAAAGATGGCTTCATTCTCCAGTAGCACACAGAGCTCCAGCCTAGTTTTATGAAGAATATACTCATCACCAGACAAACCCACCAAAATTATTTTGAGACTGAGAAACTGGAGAGGTTTTTTTCCCTTTAGTGTGGCACAACAATGGACTAGTCAACCCAGTCCAGTTAAGGTAATAGCAGCCCTTCACCTTCTTGGCTATTAATGTTCAGCGTCATCAATGGGTCTAACCAGATGGGCAGGCACATCTGGAAAATATAATGTCTATTAGTGTTTTCTTCCAGTGCAAAAACTATTCCACTGACCTAAGATGCTCTTGTGTAGAAGCAACATCAGCACATGGGTCCTGTGCTGAAAAAAAGATGTGACTGCTAACAGAGCAATATGATAGGATCTAATCCAGAATGTACAAGGTTATATTCACCTACTCTTTAGCTCAGTCAAGTGGACTATGGTGGTAAATTAAGGGCAGCCCAATCACTAGGCAGAACTAAGTGACTGCATATACTACTCTCAAAAAAGTGAGATTAGCCTCCTCTGCAGGCTTGAAGGGAAGCTTGGCATTAACTGGTTTCTGTAATCTCTGTATCTGTTTACTCTGGTCTTCTATAGCTGCCATGCTGGAACATAGAAGGCTGTTTTTTATTTTTATGTTGCTCATTTTGAATGCCTAGTAAGTAAAAAGTTAAGTTATGGATATTGCCAGAAATATAAAGGAACTGTTGCACGTCTTGACCAAAAGATCATGGAGGACTGTTTCTACAGGGCAGAAATGGAGCTAGCCTAATTGCTCAGCTAAACATGCTAAATAGCGAATCTAGAGACCCAGAATAGAATACTTTTGGAGAGGGGTGTGATGAACTGTCCTCCAAAAGCAGAATGCTTAGTGCATCAGATTCAGAGAGCTGGGAGATTAGAGGCTAATGCCTCACTGTAAAGCACCGTTTGCCTGCATGCTCCCCCTTCTCTCTGACTGATCAGCACCAGCTGAGGAGAGTTTTCAAAAGGCCTTGTGAGTCTTGTCAGAGGGAGTCAGTTGTCATTTGGACTTTGACTTGGCACTAGCCAGTCCGGAGGAGTGTGTGTGTCGGTCTGAGGGAAACAGACAAGACATTTGAGAAGTGAAGGGACACAACTCCTTGCCCTTACTGTGTACCAACACATTTGAGGAAAAGTTCAGAAATCAGAACTTAAAGTCTAAGTGTCAGCCCTAACTGAATTCCGTTTATCCACAGTCTCCAGAACTGGAAAATCCGCCTCACAGAGAAGAAGAAGCAGAGGTCCATGATAAGGGGTAAGAAACAACGGAGTAACAAAATAACATGGCCTTTTGTAGGTCTGAAACAGTCTAACCTATATCAAAACAAAGCATGAGTTCGGATGCGAGTGCAAGAAGCTTTAGAGAATGGAAAAAATGTCCAACTTCACACTCAATGAAATTGCTGAGCAGTCAGGTTCGAACAGATAAAAGGAAGTACTTCTTCACCCAAAGAGTGATTAACACATGGAATTCACTGCCACAGGAGGTGGTTGCGGCTACAAGCATGGATGGCTTCAAGAAGAAACTGGATAAACATATGGAGCAGAGGTCCATCAGTGACTATTAGCCACAAGTTATAGACAGGAAATCTCGGTCTGGGGCAGTGTATTCTTGGTGCTTGGAGGGGGGCAACAGTGGGAGGGCTTCTCGTGTCCTGGCCCCACTGGTGGACCTCCTGATGGCACCTGGTATTTTTGGCCATTGTGTGACAGAGTGTTGGACTGGATGGGCCATTGGCCTGATCCAACATTGGCTTCTATTATGTTCTTATGTTCTATGTTAATTCAATAATAGGGTGTATTAGTAGAGGGCCAACAGATATTCATGTTATGAGAAACTTGTAATCACTATATTAAAATATACTTTAAAATATAATTTGTGACAGTTTTTATATATTTTAAGAAGATATTAAAGTATACAAAACTTTTTATGGGTTTGAAGTTATAAGATAATTAATTACCCAAGAAGGTGCACCTTTATCAAGTGGGACAGCTAGCTATTGATAAAAGATTATTTTCAAAACCTATAAATATGGGAGTCTGAATTGATTAGGAACTGCTTCTTAGAAGAGACTCCTGATTGTCACCAGCTTATCTTTGGGTAAGATATTTTAATGGTCTCATATAATTGCTTTCCTTTACTTATCTATGTAGCAGTAATGGATAATATAATTTCCTTTTGAATTATTCAATGTTAAAGATGCAAACAGAGGAGGAGGAGGAGGAGGAGGAGGAGGAGGAGCTGTCAAGTTGCAACCAGCTTCTGGTGATCCCTTGTGGGATTTTCAAGGCAAGAGATAAGCACAGGTTGTTTGCCACTTCCTTCATCTGCATAGCAACCCTGATCTTCCTTGGTGGTCTCCCATCCAAGTATCAGCTTCTGAGCTGAAATCTCAAGCTAGTCAGATGCAAACAGTTCTGTTGTAATAAAACTATAAAATGAAAGTAAAGATTCTCTAATGGGGGATGGAATGATTCATTCACGCTTCTTTGCTTTCATCTTCAGTCAGTAAAGGGTTTACAAATGTTCCAACCATGAATTCTAATATTCTTGAATAGCAGACTCTTCTCTCCATACTTTGCTTTACAAACATAGCAGTTTTATTTATTTTTATTTATTTATAAGGTTGCATCTTTATTCTTTTTTTTTCTGACCTCCAGAAGGGGAATTTTTTAATTGCATTTTCTAAAAACTACAAAGAAACATAGGAAGGTAACTACAAACTACAGGAGAAAGAAAAGAAACCCACTAAAAACCCAAGAGATGGAGGTCATATACTGCTTATACATAAATGTTAGCTTAACAATAAAAAGTTGTTTTCTTTAACATTGTGAGTAGTCAATCATCATCATTGCTTAAATAAACAAACCAACAGATCTGATCAAATAAAGAGCAGTTCAGGAGAATAAATGGATAACATATACACAAATTTCAGAAAACAATGGCATCTCATTTTAAAGAATTTTTTCCTGCTCCCGTTATTAGCACATTAACATTGAAGTTCCCTCAGTAGGTGTAACAAAGTCTCATTTCCTATTCCATTGCTGTTTCTTCTTTCTTCTTATAGTCTTTCCCTGTGGAACCATCTTGCTGAAACAGAAACTGGCCATCTTAAAACAAAATCCCTCTCCTTTTTCCAGGGCTTTTATCCGCTTAAATTCTTGCCTACAATCATAGGGACCAATCCATTTATAGCTTCTAACTGCTCAGCTTGAGAAGAGTCTCACCATCTTATTGCCCAGCAGACATATTCAGGGTATGGCCATGGAACATACCCATTCGCTTTAAGCATCGCTTTAGTATCTGCCTACAGGCCCCATCACTTGAAAATGCTCTTTAGACTCTCCTCTTCAATCCTGGAAGGTTCCATAATCATGGGTTAGACGCTTCTCCGTTGTTAACACTGTCCCTTTAAAAGTAGCAGCCATCATATAGCACAGTTCTTATTAGTACCTCGTTTGTACCAGCAGGGGGCAAAAGCTTGACAAGCAATCCACTTCCTGAAGAAAGCTTAGATCTCACTTATTGCTTCTACTACGCTTTCCATCTCCATTTTGGAGCATGTTTACTTTTTTAAAAAGTTTGCCAAAGTCCCGAATGCTTGCTTAAATGCTTAGAAGAAGAAGAAGAAGAAGAGATTGGATTTATACCCCGGCTTACAAACTCCTTTCCCTTCCCCTCCCCACAACAGACACCCTGTGAGGTGGGTGGGGCTGAGAGAACTCTGACACAAACTGCTCTTTCTCAAGGACAGCTGTGCCAGAGCTTGTGACTGACCCAAGGTCACATCAGCAGGTGCAAGTGGAGGAGTGGGGAATCAAACCCGGTTCTCCCAGATTAGAGTCCGCACACTTAACCACTACACCAAACTGGCTCTCTTAGTTGACTCCTGGAATCTCTCTGTTATAGTTCCTTGCCGCTTTTAACTCTGCCCCCCCCCCAGATATGTTTCTTGTAGTCGCTTATTTGTTCAGGGGAGGAATTCCCTCCCCCCGCCGCTTTTTATGTGAGGGGGCTTCACGCCAAGTCTCTGGTGTTTTCACTTTAACAGACTCACTCATCCACGTCGATCCCTCGGATCTCGCCAGGTAAGGGAAAATATCGCTAAACCTCCAAGCACTTGTCCTGGTGTGTGTAGCTTAGTCCCATTCGGGAACTCAGTGGCGAGACCGTCAGGGCATAGAGACACCTCAATCCACTGGCTGAGTGCTGGTGGAGAGGCAACCCATGAAGCCCCATTGCTAGAGACCCATTGCAAGGGTCCCAGGGGTGCGAACATTTGCACCCCCTCTCTAACCGCTGGTCTGTGGATCGCGTCCCTGGGAGTTCCCTGAGGACATGGCCACCATCAGCCCACCAAAAACCAGAAGTCGTTGCATCTTTATTCTGACACAGCCTGGCCAACCTTATACATTTTCACACCTGAAGCAAAAACGCAAAGCAACACCAGTCCTTACCAAGTTCTACAGTACCCTGGTTGGTTTGTTTTTTAATGATACAGAAATGATACAGAAAGATAGTGGCCAAAAAGAGCAGAAAATAGCACCCTCTTATAATTTACTGTCTGAAATTACTGCCTCACAAAGCATTATGGCAATGCTGGCCATGGGAGGCTTCTAAAAAGATAATGACGTGTGCTATCAGGTGAACTGAATAGATAGAGCCAAATTCTTCCCTTCTGCTGTTTCAAAGGAACTTATTTTGCATAGATTATGGGAAAGTATCTGCCTAAAGATTAAAATGATATGACTGTCTGATCACCAAGTCATAAAAAAGACTAACAACAATAGTGGCTTGCTTGAAACTGAAATCTTAGCACCTTTGTTCAGGAGTCAGCTAGTGATTATTCAAGTACAAGCCTATATATGTATGTTTAGGGGTAAACTAAAGGTTCCACTTCAGAAGGGAATACTAAAGAACACAATAATTTGCTTAGCATAGGCCCCAGTCACACGTGCCGGAAATCCCGGAGGGAGGCGTGGCTATTTGCGGTGATGCAATTA